TCTTCTTCTTCGTAGTGGTCTTCTTGCAGGTGCACGGCGGCTTCCTCAACCTCAGGTCCGCTATGGCGGACTGTCACATTCGGCGGCCACCTCGGCTATGGCGCATCAGGTCCTGCATACGACGGCGCGCATGGAATAGTGGGTACCAGCTCCGATACCAATGCAATCAGACTCGTCTTATTCACACTTTTCATGTATGTAAACAGCAGCACAGCACACTGGCGACATGCGCCCACTCAGAACTCAGAGATATGGCTTCCATATCGTCTGTTCTCTTAATGATTGCTCATTCGTATGTATTTGTAAGTAGCAGAAAGGGAGTGGAGGGGAGGGTGGAGGGTAAGGGATAGAAGGTGGAGTTCTATAGGAGTATGGGGCAGGGGAGGTAGGGGCAACGGGAAGGAAAGAAATATGTGGAGGGCAGGATAGAGTATGACATGCATAGAGCAGGGGAGAGGTATATGACGAGCTTCACAGATTTCTAAATATTCACCGCTGAGACAGACTACTCTAGCAAAAAAAAACTATGGCGACTGGCCACCCCTACAGACTGGCCAGGACCGGTTCGGGTGTGGGCTATGGAAGCACCGCATCCAATTTTCGCAGTCACAGTTGCTGCATCGAATGACACGGCGCAGACTGTGTGTGTGTGTTTGTACAGTTGCAGTGTGATGCTGCAGTTTGTGCCAGTGTGATGCTACAGTGCGTGTCAGTGTGATGCTGCAGTGTGTGTCAGTGTGATGCTGCAGCACTGCAGCAACAGCAGGGGGGGGTTGTTTGGGGGCATTTTATGCGATAACCCCGCCCCCCACCCTCCCCCAAAACATGTTTTGTGAAGCAGTTTTCGGGTTTTTGGACTCCATGGACTCTGCGGGAGGGGTAGACACCAAAAAAATAAATAAACAGAATTGTACGGGACCCCTAGCGTACGGGTACGGATCCATACGGCTGTAACCGTAGGGGACCCGTACAAGACGCAACACAGGATGTAAGTGGAGAAAATCATTCGTGAATAAAACAATCTGCCAAACAACCGTACAGCCTTGCCACACAACACACAAAACAAAAAAACAATGTCTGTATCGTTCCACAGAAGAAGGCACGGTGCATTCGCTACTATGGATAGAAACAGATGTATCTTGTCGCATTCTGTGGGAAGATACACATCCTTTTTTCGTTTCGTGTGTTTTGTGGTGAACGGCCCAGGCTGTGCTGTGGAAAGTTCGAAAGGAGTGACATTACCTACCTGGCCCGCCAGTTGGACCAGGAAAAAAGAAGCTCCAGCACACGGTTTCCTGAACTGACCCCCACCTGTCAGCACCCAATGTCACAAATTTGTGGTACAAAATGCCTGAATGTTTTGCGGATTTAGGTCCCCTGGTGAGTATGCCCTGAGAATTTTGGATTCTTTGATCAATCGTGTTTTTCCTGGGTGTGTTCGTCTACGCCTTTGTATCTGTAAATCATTTGCGCTGGACGTATCATATCTTATGGGAGCAGCAGGAAGGAGAGGGGGAAGAACGTATATCAGACTCGTTTTCAAACACACTTTTCACACATGTAAACAGTAACGCAGCACACTGGCGACATGCGCCCACTCAAAACTCAGAGATATGGTTTT